AATTTTCAGTTTCAGAAATCCCACATAGACAAAATATTATGAAAGAGATTGAGGAATCTCACAAGCAACATACTAAGAATTCTATCAGATAACCCTTAACAAAGTAACCTTTGTGAATATACCTGTGAATATTATAAGCATATTAGGTGTGCTTAATTTTTGTTCTAATAAAGAGGAATGGGGATTCAAATTTCATAATGCAGTTAAAATGCTATAATTATTCATAACTAACTTAATCCCATGCCTTTGGTAGCTGCCTCACACAAGCCAAAACCTGTTTCCATAAAACAGGGGCTATTCTATGACAACTGAACTTACTGTATGTAATTTGGATATAAGGCATTTAAAAATAACCTCTCACCAATTTTGCTGATTCACACTAACAGCTTAGCATCAGCAGGTACCAGTGTTTTGGCAGCAATGCAAATGCATGTTAATTTTCTTTGAGATCTTTCCTAAAAAAAGCAGAAATGGAAGTCAATGCCAAAATGATTGTCACATAAGTGCAACACCTTACTCACTGTAAAAAAGATGATAAAGAGACTTATTAGACCATCTCTAGAATTTTAAATAGTACTAAGAAAAGAAGGCTTTGACAATTCTTGTATCCAAACAAAGAGGCTATTACACTGTAATCCTCTCCTGAACCACCAAAATCCTAGCATCTCCCCACAAAAAGCTCAGGAGCAGTCCAGACCATATGCTCCCATCAACACCCTCCAACAGGAGCCAGGGGCTCCTAGCTTTGTGCTGCTGGGCAGCTCCATGGCTGCAGCCCTGGACCACTGGCAGCTGCAGGTCACTCTGCAGGGACACCATTTGCTGCCACTGCAGCGTGAGTCAGCTCAATTACCTTTTCAAGTCTGCCTCCATTTTCTTTCTTTCAATGTGCAAATACTTTGAGACACAAATCAAGTCTAGCAGCCAACTAAAATTAACTTCCCCAAACACATAATGAGCTAAAATGCTCCCACTCAATAGCTACTCCAGCTATGATCACAGCCTCTAAATACCTGAAGAATCATATTTGCAGAATGTCCCTAAATGTGCATACCAGGCCACCTGAGATCGTAAGCAAAATTAATTCCTAGGCAGTTATGGCATTCTGGTAGTGCCTGAAAAATCTGGTCTCGACTTCCTGTCTCTTTTCCCTTTCTTTCATTTCAAATGATAGGTTTAGCTCAAGTACCTATGTCCTGACTTGCGGAATTTTGATGAACTGCAGTTTTCAAGTAAATCAGCACAAAACCCATGCTGTTCAGGATTTTTCTAGTGATCCACAAGTTCACATGGCAAGCTACTAGGCATGATGTTAACTGGTTTTAGATCTGCTTTAACAAAGGAAATGAGACTATACACCACTTTGTTGAAGTACAGAGCTGTGCACAGCTCTGACCAAAATTCCCAGATCCAAAAATTCTCCACAGGTTATGAGCAGCCCGAAACAGTAACTTTTGAAATGGTAACTGTCAGAAGGGAAGTTGTTAAGGCTTTATGGCACAATGACAGTATCATAAAGCAAAGACTTCTTAGGAAGCCTGAAGGAGGCAAGCCCACTGCGGCTGCAGATGCTGCTAGCTGCCAAGAGTAAATAAAATATGTCTTGCACTTTGCCAAGATCCCCTTTGGCTGCAAGCAGGCTGGCAATAAAATAGTCCTAGGTACAGGTAAGGAAGGACTCACTTAAGTCAGCAGTTAGCCCCTGCACTGGCTAATGGGCAACAGGAGGCCTCCTGGTACTATTCAGATAGGAAATACATAGACCTTCTTGATAACCACAGGACAAAGTACAAAGTAGCCACAGTGCATAGCTTGAGTAGTATTTATTAGAAGGCTGGGGGTGAACAGCTATTTAAATAAAAAGCATTTTATCTAGACAAAGGCTTGAATATGCACCAATGCAAGAGTTAAGTGTCTCCAGATGGAAACTGACAGAAAAAATACGACCGTACAAGTCTTACAGAAGGGCCCTCAACAGCTTCACCCCACCCCACCCAAAAACATGGTCTTTTGTGAAGCTGCTTTATACAGCTGAAACTTTCTTGTTAATTAAGCAAAGATTGGTAGGTACAGCTGCAATTTCAAATGAGCTCTTTCCAAGACTCTCCACTTGTTCTGCCTCACTACCAGATGCACATTTCCTTTTCCAGCTTGTACATTGTTTGCATTATTTTTTGTCCTTTTCATGTTACCATAAGATGGAAGTTATCAGTACATGACAAAGAAAACAGAGGCACCACTGGAATACCCCTTTAAAGTCATGTTGCCTGTTGTCATGGCAACCATTTAATTAGTTGTGTTACTCATTTTTCACCAGCACCTGGCAACATCACCTCTCCAAGATCTGTTATTACAAAGGAGTCTGCTAACTCAGCTGCTTTAGAAGGTAGCAGAAAAGATGTGCAGGAATTTCCACTCTGAATCTTATTTTTAAGGAATTGCAAATCACTCAAATTGCCCAACAGCTGAATACAAGGTGTATCTACATTGCTATTCACTACACAGGGAGGGGCATCAGACCTTAAATTCTTTAAGTGAAAAGACACAAATGCTTTGACAATCTCTTGCACCTTTTTCTTTTGACATCATAGGCATCTGGCATGGGGACAGGATTGGCCCCATTTCCTCCAAGCTTCCTTTTGCAGAAAGATTGCTACCCTTCACAATGTTGCTGTCCATATCCTCAAGCTGTTCTGAGAAGCACACAAGCATGTACTGAACCACCACCACAATTACCATAATTAAACATGATAATCAAACAGGCTCCAGTCAGCCAGCCGTCAGACCTGAGAAAACCAGGAGCCTTCCTCAAGAGTAAACTGTGTCTATATGTGAGCTGAACAGAGACTTCAGACTCAAAGGGCTGGAAAAGAAGAGGTTGATTAATTACATTCCACAGGCAATCGCATCACCTTGGATGAATACTTCCCTTGGACAAAAGGTCACCTAGTTACCTAAATTCCATTTCGGAGTTTGGGACCATGAAGGAATACATACTTACAATCATCTTTGGAAGTCCACTGTTTCAATGGTTGAACACCCAGAGTTTAATATTTGGGTGCTGTTACAAAGTAAACATTCTGACATTTTATTAGAATGTGGAAGCAAAAAAGCCTTCTCTCTGCTAAACAGCAGAGAGGACACAAAGGAGCCTCATACAGAATTCAATATCAGAGAAGAGCAGAAAGAAACTAAAATAATTCTCTGATCTGTACAGTGGGATTCTGAAGGTACAAATGCGCTTCTCCACAAAATTTTAGGTGGGAAGTTGGTTAAAATGGATAGTTTTATCCCTTGATATTGACTTTATTCAAGTTTCAGGCTCCCTTTGTGCTTTGTAAATGCAGACTCTGGCAGTTTATTGTTTAAAGATTGAGCAGTAGTGAAAAACACATTCATTTCTGCTTGTCAGAGATGTTGATGAATTCCAGTCACATGCAATTAAGCTAGAATTTAACACAATGACAGATTAACAGCGAAGTCTAGACAAACAAGGGGGAAAAAAATCAATCAAAAATACAATTCCCAGAGAAAAATTCCTAAACAATTCTACATTCTTTCTGCTGAAAAGGGGGTGCAGAATCTTATCTTATTTATTACATGAAAGTAGAGTATTTTTTTAATTTTAATTCTTGCAGTGGTATTAGAATGTATCATCTAAAAGAGGCAATAAAAATACTAGTCATGCTGTAATATTTTTGCTACAGGAGCAACGTAGGATCTTTAAGTTCTTAAAGTAAAACAAAGATATTCCAAAAATAGGATACACTGCATTTTCCATTTCTTAAATTCCCTCTCTGTAAAGCAAAGCAATGTCACTGAGATGTTGAATTGGCTTCACGACATTTAAAATTCAATGAAAGACAAGTATTCTAGGCCCCAGTTTACATCCACGTAAATAAGGGGCTACATGTCTTTACTCAAAAATCTTCATGCTGTGTATTGTTTTATTAGTTATGCTGGTTTTCAAACCCGAGGACGAATCATAGAAGTATATAATTTTTTCTTAACCCTGGCAGTGCTTTACTCTCTCTAGATATGGGGAGATACAGCAAAAACTGCTTTAACATATGCTGCAAGAAGAAAAACATAGTTACATAACGCATTTTTGTACATTATTTAAAACCATCAGGTCAATGTTGTCATGCTAGCAAGGCATCAGGGTCTCTTTGTCAAAAATGTATAGCAACTGACATCAGGAAGGTGACTTAGTAGCATGATACAAAATGTCATAGCCCTTTTTCACCACACATGAGAGATGTTCCAGAAGCTGGAATTTTTAACACTAGTCAGTAGCAGGTTGTACTGTATGACAGCACCCAACATGCATATGGCCACAATGATTTCACCAATGACAGAAACCTCTACTACTTTGAAAAGGTCATATATGTTCACATGAGAACCCTGATCGAATTCATCCAGACTCATTCAGCAATGGTATTAAGAGTAATGAGATCTTAGAAAACTTACCGAACACTTGATTCTCATGAAACCAGACCAAACCCAAACTTTACACCTCACAAAACTGGTAAACAAAAGATTCAATTTATTGAATGAATCCTCTTAAGGAAGAATGGGCTTGAAAAAAAGGCAGCAAAAGAGATTTAGTCTTGTTAGCCCTATACATGTCTGATTTCCTCATACAAGCCAAAGAAAGTTCCTGGGAGTGAAGGCAGACTCACCATAGCTCAGCTTCTCATACCAAGAAAGATAACTAAGTTCAAGTCCTTTGGGAAGAAACACAGGGCTTGAGATGCAGTAGTACAACAGCTGTGACATCAGTTCTGGCTCTGTCCCACTATAGAGCTAACCTTTCCAGTTATTGTTTTTTATGTACACCACCTACCACAATAAGCTTCCGTCACTGAACTACTAGATTGGTGCCACATGAAGAAACTGTTCAATCCAAAGGTGAGTTTATTTAACTTTAAAAAGGCCCTAAAACTAATGGGCCAGGCAATTTCAGAGTGTAATTTAGCAGTTCTGTTCTTAAAACTCACCTCGAACTTCAGGAGAGAATCGAGCTGAATGGCGAGAAACAAAAAGTTTCAGTTCTTGATCCAAGTTGCATTCGACCAAGTTTGTGTCCCATGATCGGATTCCTAAAATTCAAAATACAAAACACATGCAGCTTGACACATGAGCACTGGAAGTTTTAACTGAGTACTAGTTCTATTTGCATTCAAACTATTTGCATATTTCTAAATTCCAAGGCCAGCCTCACTTTCTTCCATGGCATAAAGCTATTTTTTAAAATGCACTGAGGAGGAGTCTGACAGCAATCAGAAAAAAACCCATCTGCCTTTCCAAAGGGTGACCATTCTTCAAGGCCCCAGCGCAGTAGTAGCCACTTCACAGTAAGTTACCAATGTCCCTGACATGACTTTAAAATCCCAGCACACAGATTTACAAATACAGAAGAGTGAATCACCCAGAGGACACTTCAGTCATGTTGCCCTTTAGAGAATAAAAAGACAGCATTACCTAGCATGTCGCTAATTAATATTTAAATACAAAGTATTAAATTGCTGACTTCTTCATTCAGTATCTTTGAAGCATACCATATTTTAAATTAAAATTCAAGTGATCTTTTATTTATGAAGCGTCAGAACTCTAGTTTTAAAATTTGAAAATGCTGTGCTTGATCTTTTTTTTTTTTTTAAATCAAACTGCACATCTCTGTTCCCTACTGTTTTTCCCCCAGCTACTTAAAAAGTGAGACACTTGACACTTATATGACCAAAAAATATATTACTCTTATAATATAAGAATAATATATTTATATAATAATATAATACATTTCAGGGACTGAAATTTAACCAGGAAAAAAAGTAATTGCAGCCAAAAGGCAAGTTTGTTGTTTTCCTCCATAAGATTTCAATGAACAATTTGGGGAAAAAAAAATCAGATTTTTATATAATTTTGTTTCAAAATTGTTCTGAAAATCTACTTTTGAAATAATGAGCAAGCAGTAACACTACAAGTAAGTCCAGGCACTGCTGCAATTTTGAAAATCAAAATTGCACTCTTTTTTTGCCCTAAAAAAACCATCACTACATCTACAGAAATGAACTGGCAAACATAAAATGGATTGCTGGTGAGGAAGTGTCTGGTGGCTCCTCCCTACATGACCATGCCTTTGCATGGAATTATTGGATTAGACCACTTTGGGGTTTGACAACAAGATGAAGAGGTGCGTGTCCAACCCCTCAAAATGCGTGTAGAATTAACACTTCTCTCAGGGTTTCAGGCTGTGGATGGTACTGCAATGCCACCTCCCATGCTATATGTATTTTCTGTTTCAACAGAGCAGAAATGTCAGAACTCAGACTGGCAGAAGCCATGCCGCATGATGAAGCATGAGGAGAAAAGAGGGAATAGCAGAGAAACCAGATCTGCAGTGCTAGTCTCCCATTGCAGCTCTGAGTAGGTTCTCCATGCAAATATGAACATCTGCATTTCAAGAGCCTGAAGCCTCTGCAAGAAGAATGCATCCAGGGCTCTTCCTTGTCAGTATCCAAGTAAAGGTAGTAGCAAGATAACTGTAACATGCTAACAACAATTAAGTAGCTGCCTTTTGAATCTCAAGAAAAATTTGAAAATGCAGTATTGCCTGTGTGTTCCATAACCACTTGAGAAAAATCACTGAGCTATAACCAGCCACCTCCACTTCCTGACTGACGCATCACTGTTCAGAGGCATAAGCAGCAAGACTCTTCTGCAAGTCTCCTTACTTTGTTTCCTCAGAAAGCACTTGGCCATATGGTACATTTTTGGGACAAGTTTTGGCAGGCAAATACATCTAAACAGGCTTTAATATCTTCCAGGTGTTGGAATATTTGAAAGCAAGAACACCAAGATGACATAATACCATACAAATAGAGCACATATGAAAACAATAATTATTAAACTGACATTGATCACAAAGCTGAAGTACACTGAATGAATGAGGGCTGAACTTCAAGAAGCTTGAGGAGAAACAGCTCCCTGGCCTGTGACACCAAGCTTGGGCAGAGAAACTACGCTTTCTGGAGGTCGGTTAAACAACATGGACTATGATTCATCAACACTGCTAATGAAAGGACTGGTCCACCACCCCTAGCTGCTTTAGATGTGATCCTAATTTGCTGTAGGGATAAGATTCTGTAGAGATAAGATAAGATGTAGTCAAGATTGCTCAATCATTGCCTGATTGAGCCAGGCAATGTCCAAAATACAGGACTCAAAATAAATAGGAAAAACAAAAAGCCAAGGGCATAAGAGCCTTTATGGTCTATGCACGCAAGTTGAAGCTGGAATTTGGAGAGCCTATCCAAAATATGCAACTGCATGATTCAGCAATCTGGATGCAAAAATTATGCATGTGTATTATAGCGGAGAAAAATGCATTAAATGAATGATATCACTAAATCAGGTCTTGGGTGGAACAAAGGTAAACCTGGAACTAAAATCCAAGGTCAATCCAATGATGGCTTAGCAGTGTGGACATAACTGCTGTAAACATGGCTGAACTGGAGCTATTTCTTTCTTTCTGCAGTCTTAGGAGTGCAATGCCACTAGACACAGGACTAATCAGACAGCAGGGAGGGCACACCCAGTACCATCTGCTAAATCACTGGAAAAATCTTGAAGCTTTCTCTTCACTCCCCTCTTCTTTTTTGGAGGATGGTGGGCTGGAGAACTGCCCCCTTAGCAAAGTCACATCCAAAATGCAATTAATGAAAATGCGTCTTGCCACACCATTCCCTCCCCACGATATTTTAAGAAATGACTCTGCATTCCACCAGGTTGCGTAGCATCACGCCACTGATGTGTTATCAGCAGATGTTTTCTTTGACACGTTGCTCTGCAGTTTGGTGCATGAATCCACAGTTTTCAGTGATGGTACTCAGGAGATGTACCAGAGAAGACAGCAAAGCAAAGTTATCAAGAACCAAAATGCATTCAAAGCTCTATTGAGAATAAAGGCAGGAAGAAGTGATTTTTTTCCAGTCTACAGCAGACTTACCAAACAGAAAAATATTAGCTGAGCCTGCAATTGCCTCACATAGACAAAGCATCAGACTCCCACTGTATTCATCCAGAAAAACGTACCTCAACATTTCACCAAGGAGTTTTCTTAGCAGGCAAAGCTAAGAAATTAGCAGGCACAATTCTCAATTAGATGGTCTGATACTAGAAGCAGCAAGGTGACTTCTAATCCAAAATGATTAATTAGAAGGCCAAAGACTCCCTCTGAGCACCTAAACCTGTAAGTGGGTGTTATGCTTAGTGGCAGGAGATAGCAGCAACTGAGCTATGCAGCAGTGACTGTACAATAGGAGACTGAAGAAGAGACTGGAAAGCATTTCTTGAGGGGAAGGGTATTAGCTGTCTTGAGGGAAGAAATTTTATCAATTTGCTTTATAATCTTTGACAATTTAATTAAAATGCAGCCAGTTCTCTTCTAATACAATTGAAAATTAGATAAAGTTAAGGAAGTGCAATGCTGAAGAAGCTCTGAATGACAAAGCACCTGCCTCAGTAGCTCTCCCCAAGAGACAATGGTAGCAATAAAGATGAACATGTTATGATGAAACTGGTTAGCTGAGATGAGGATGCCTTTTACCTCAAACAGTAATGAAAAAGGATTCAGAGAAATAACCAACTAAAGCAACAAGGGTTGAGAAAGCAACAATAGAGACGCAGATGAAGTCCTAACTGGACTGCTGAACCACACCTACATGACAAGGCTGCTACCAATTCCCCCGTTCCGGGATCTCTTCTCCACTCTTAACAATGGCAGTTCCTGAAATCTTTGTTTTTACCAGCCCAGAACAAAAAAATACATATCATAAAATCAGCTATCAACTGAGTTTAAGTGACTGTAAGGTCCAACAATCATTTTCTTCGTGCTTTATTCCACTAATACTGCAACAGCTTGTTGGCTTTTGTTTATTTTTTTTTTCTCCTCTCCGCATATACACTGCAATCTATTGTATCAGAAACCACAACGAAAACTTATAAAACTGTCATTTCACCTGCAATACCACCCTGCATGGCCGTCTTAAGAAAAGAACAAATAAACGCCGAATCAGAGGAGCCCGCAGTCGGACAATAACGAGGCTGAGCCCTCGGCTAACAGCCTTGTTACTCATATGGGTTTTCTTTATTGGAATATATACGCGTATATAGAACTTGGGTCCTGAAAAATTGTCCAGACGACAGAAAAGTCCCAGCGCCCAAAGTTAGACACAAAGGCGCGGCTGCGCTCCCGCCCGCGCAGCCTCTGCTGCCGAGAGGGAAAACGCCCCGAACCGCGCCGGCTCAGCGTGGCGCTGGGGGACGGGGGACTGCGGGCGGCAGCCGCCTCGCAGCCCCAGCCCAGCCCATCCACCCCATCCCCGCCGCCCTTTGTCCGCCCCGAGCAGGCACCGGGACCGCAGTGCGGACCGTGCCACGCCCACCCGCCGGTGTCTCCGGGCAGACGGGCTCGGCGGCGGGCGCTGCGCTCCCGACCCGGTCCCTCCGCCCAGCGATGGCGGGGAGGGGGCTCGCTGCGGCTTTCCGCAGCCCCGCTCCGCAGTGCCCGCACCCCGCGGGGGAAGGTAGGTGGGTGGGTGATTGCGGCGGGACCCCCCGGGGAATAAAGAGCCAGAGCCGCGGCTCGGCGGGGTGCGTGTCGGGAGGCTATCCCGGCTCCCGGCCGCGCCCAGGGAGGGGCAGGGCGCCGGCGGGGGGTGTCGCGGCGCTGCTTGCGGCGCCCCGGCTCCCGCCGCCTCACCTCGCTCGATATCGGTGATGGCCCGCCGCAGGTGCTCCTCGGTCACCAGCTCGCCGATGACCACCAGCAGGTAAAACTTGCTGTCTAGGAAGCGGTGGGAGAGACTGGGCGAGGTGGAGGTCGGGTTGGGGATGCTGCAGGAGGGCTCCGAGTCCACTTCCACCACTACGGTGGCCATCGCCTCCGCCCCGCGGCTCCGGGGCGCTGAGCGCAGAGGGGCCGCTCGGCGGCAGCTCCGCAGGCGGCAAGGAGGGAGTGAGGGCGGGTGGGGAGGCGGCGGCGCTTTTATACGGAGACGGTGCAGGGCAGGGACCTGGTGAGGAGGAGGAGGAGGAAGGGGGGGAGCCAGCGCATCCTCCGCGCCGCCGCCGCCGCCGCCTTTCCAGCATCCACAGCTGATGTCATCTGCGGCAAATCCTCCCCGCGGCGGCCCCCGGAAGCAGGAAGGACGCGGGGGGCGAACAACGCCCCGAGGGGACGCCAAGGGCTGCGCCCCACGCCTGGCTCCCGGCCCGGCCGTGGCACCCCTGGGCCCGCGCCCCTCGCGTCCCTCGCTCCCCGCGCCCGTTCCGGGCGTCACCCTGCCGGCCGGTTACCCCTAGGCCCGTCCCTTAAAACAGGGCCATGAGGAGCCGCAGGTGATGGCCTGGCAGACCTGGGGAGCTCATGCGGGAAAGCCGTCATCGGGACTCCATCAGCGCTCCAGAAGCAGGTGAAAAGCAGTGCCACTGCCCAAAGCCAATTGTCTTCTCCTACATCTTGCTGTACCACTGCAGCAAAATTTGAGTCATACTTAAATACACACCCTCACCCAGAAATCTAAATATTCTTGCTAACTTTTTAAATTTGAAAGCAGTTTATTTGATAAGATACTTCACACATAGCTCTTCTGCACATATTCAATACCCATGGATATACGACACCAGAAAAACACTGGTTTTGGACAACATGTTGAAACCCGTAGTCTTAGCTTATTAAAAGCTGCAGAAATTCAAAAGGGCTTTGATAAGTAGTGTTGACTGGGCTCAAGCATCTCCAGGGAGCAATGATAGCAGAAAACTTGTACAATGATAAAACCAAAGGTTTCATATCTCTTCTCATAGATATTAGTATCTACACCCCAATACTCAGTGATAACCACCTCTAAAAAGTGTATTACTCTCTCCTAATGAGGGATGGAGAAGTCAAATCTGGCTGTGATGTTCCTCTCACTTTACTGACATACGCAAGCCACTTGTTTACACTAAGCCTCTTGTTTATAAGGCTCAAGTGATGGGAGATAAATTTCACTGTGACATAGGAAAGGATATATACTTTTATAGCTTGCTTTTTCAGATAGCCTCCTTTCCCTGACTGAGAGGACACTTCCTCTGTCTGCAGCTTCTTTCAGTGCTGGATGTGCAAATTCTCTGCTTGCTGCTCAGAAACAGAGTGCTTGCCTGGGTGAACCAGTATATCAGCCTTGTCTTCTTCGTATTTTGTTCCAGGGCACAGTGGACTGATTTGCATGCATTTCAGGTTGTCAGTCCTAAGTTTTTTCTGTCTTACTAGCCTAGAGGCTACAGTTTCAACCCACAAAGATTAGAAGTGGATCATTATACGTGCTGGTCCATAGTGTTGTATCTGTCTATAGCACCTAGTGGTTTTGATATGAATAGTTCCTCTGCATAAATACAGCACTTAGAGTCTTGGCTTACACAGTGTGGTGTGTTTGGATGTTGCATCCAAAGTAGACTTTTTCTGAACTGCCATTATTCTGAAGGTTGTGGAGTGCGGACAGGCGTTTTCACAGCCATGTCAGGCGGCTGAGATGACACAGTGGTAAAGAGCAGCAGTGCTCATTCTTCACTGAAGCTGACACTGCTTATAGGACAAATATAATAGTATAGATGCAGAAGAACTAGCAGCAGTTTTAAGGTTTGCAAGGTATTCAAAGGGGCAGTGTGTTCCTCTTGGGACATCCCTGTTAATCTGGGCCCCAGTGTGACTTTGCTGTTTCCTGTCAGTTTCCATAGGATGGAGTAGATGCCTACTTAGAAATAATGTCCATCCCCTGTAGCCTTTTCCTATATGACCCCCTTCCTCATAACTTATTATAATTATAGATATCTTCAAGACTTGCCATGTGGTACCCACTGGAGAAAGCCAGCTTCAGGCTTCTGTCACTGCAGTCTGTAGATTTGGGGTGTGCCTTTATGTCAATCACTAGCAAGAGCAGCTAGTGTCTCAAGCATAGAAGGGGCTTGCCAAGGGGTCTTGCCAGCTAGTTGCAGAATAGACAGATGCTGGTTCCTGGACATAAAGGTAATACAATTACTTGCCTTACAAGCACAACAGGTTAAATGTGATAGTCAGAGAAATGCATGCCAATACTCAAAAGGCGCTGTTATGTGCTTTTAAGTACTTTCTTATTTTAAGGAAAAGTGGAAACATCCATAGCTGGAAAGATGCCTGTGAATTTGAAAAGAGCTGAAAAGAAAGCATTTTATCAGAGAATAAAATGCTTACATACAGGTAGGTGATACAGTTACATTTGAAATAGCCTGCTCAGGTAGTCCTCTATTTTGTACTACAGCGTAAAATAGCACGCAGTTAGAACATGGTATGATAAAAGATGAACTGTTGCAGTCAAACTTTCTTGTGATGGGTGATGTGTCACCCATTAAAACCCTAAGGACAAGAGGTTGTCTTTGGGAAAAAAATGGTCCTGTGCTAAACTCTTCAGACCCCTAGCCTTGTCTGTTCACAAGCTGCCTCATCTGAGATGGAAGGTAGACGAGAAATGTTCTGGAGGATAAAGCACCTATCTGTGAGGAAGCTGCAGGGTCCCAGCTCTGTAACCACTGTTCACACTGTGTCTTGCCCTGTCCATATCTCAGTCAGGTAGATGTGTTTGTCATCATCTTTCCCAGATGTCATCAGCTAATTCATATTCTGTAATATGGAGCATCAGGTCCACTGCTGAGTGAAATGTGGAGATATGCTGCAGAAAGCTGACTTTATGTCCTGTGACCCCCACTGTCTGAGAGTGATACCACCTGCCTATCTGCAGCTAAATCACATAGATGTGCCCCTTCAGTAGAAGAAACAGCAACATTCATGGACTATGGAATATATCTGACTGTTTCAAAGAGACAGTGATTGAGATCCTCACCTGTCTGGTTTTTAGTTGTCTTGGTTTGATTTAGTTGTTTTATTATGTTCAATACCAAATTGGATCCCCACAGCTGAATGTGGTCAAATAGCATATGAAAAGCTGTATTTTTTAGATGTTGTATTTTTTAAAGAGGCAGTTTAAATAAAGTGCTTGAAATTTAAAACATGCTTCTTGGTATTATGTGCCATTTGTTCCCCACTAATATTCAAGCTTCATTCGAGTCCAAACTTCAAATTTTAAATTAAGTTTCAGTGATGTGCAAGCCTTTAGACTGGCCCTTTGTCTCAGGTCAAGTGTCATCCCTACTGTAAAAGAAATACATATCCATATGGATTGCTTCAGACCAATTGGCATACAGACTGGAGAACAAGAGGTTGGAGAGCAGCACCGTGGAGATGGACCTGGGGCTGCATATGAGTCAGGCAGCCAGGAGGATCACCCATGTCCTGGGAGCATCAGGCCCAGCATGGCCAGCCAGGCAGGGGAGGGCATTGTCCTGCTCTGCTCTGCGCTGGGGTGACCTCACCTCGAGTGCTGGGGGCAGCTCTGGGTGCCACAGTGTAAGTGAGATACAAAACTATTGGAGAGTGTCCAAAGGAGGGCCATGAGGATGGTGAAGGGCCTTGAGGGGAAGCCATATGAGGAGCAGCTGAGGTCACCTGGTCTGTTCAGCCTGGAGAAGACTGAGGCGAGACCTCATTGCAGTCTACTTCTTCTTCTTGTGAGGAGAGGAGGACAGGCAGGCTGATCTCTGTGGTGACCAGTGGCAGGACTCAAGGGGATTGCATGAAGTTGTGTCAGGGGAGGTTTAGGTTGGGTATTCAAAAAAGGTTCTTCACCCAGAGTGTGACTGAGCAGTGGTAGAGGCTCCCCAGAGAAGCTGTCACAGCATAGAGCCTGACAGAGTTCAAGTGTTTGGACAACACATTCAGGTACGTGGTGTGATTCTTCGGGTGTCCTGTGCAGCACCAGGATTTGGACTTCAGTGATCCTCATGGATCCCTTCCAACTCAGGGCATGCTGGGATTTTTTTTTAATTTAAGAACTTTACTGAAACAGAAGGGTGTTCATTGAGAGAAATGCCAGTCTGAGGATTGCACAATATGTCATGAAGGGCATTCCTTGTGTCAGTAGGATTTCTTAAGGTTAGGCAGGAAGGCACAACCTCTAGAGATGCAGATTTGCCGGCCTAGGCCTGAGGTGACAGATTCACAGAATGGCTGGTTGGAAGGGGCTTCTGAAAGTCATATTGTCTAATTCCCTGCTCAATTGGATGGTAGATTTCTGAGAGCTATGTCCAGTGGGGTTTGAGTATCTCCATGGATGGAGACCACCACCATTCTGGGCTACTTCTGATGCATTGATGAAGTCAGGAATATGCAACCAGTATTACAGCAGATAATAACTATAACATTGTGTACCTTACCTGATGCCTTCCCAATGTGACCATCATTCTCAATAACCCCACTCTGCCTCACCCCCCATTTTCTGCAACCAGAAGCTCTACCATTCCCACATGGTGCAGCCTTTACCTCTCAGAGTCTCCTCAGTGCATTGTTCCTTTGGGAACTCCGCAGAGTGTGCAGCAGCAGCCCAGGTGCAGAGGGACAGTCAGCATGTCACCCTGGCCCCAGCAGGGCAGAAGTGTCACCCTGCAGCTGCTGGCCATGGTGTGATTAGTCATGAGCCCTTCCCTGCCAACACCTGGGCATGTAGTTCATAAAGACAACTCCTCCTGCCTTCCCCCACTTTTTAGGCAAGGAAGCATCTTCATCTCGAACATCCTCAGGCTGGTGCTGCCAGAGGAGCTCCTCCTGCCGCAGGGATATGGCAATAGCCAGGGTCATCAGAGAGAGCTGTACCTGCATGAGCAGACAGAGACTTGAACTCCATGAGAGACTCTGGGAAAATACTTGACATTTTAGGATGGCAGACTTTAACTACATGGAAAATAAAAATTACTTGACCAATATTCATTTCAGGTATTTTAAAATTATTACTTCAATTTTATTGGTTACTTT